TTATGAAAATGTTAAAGATTACAAAGGGGGTTACATCTGCTTTTTTTCACACACACTCTCACATACAGATTTAATTGATTTCTTTCATAAATTGCAGTGACTGCTCTAAAATATGAAACACCAATGTTTCAGGAGTTTAGAACATGCTTATTTGATCATTCTTTTATTTCCTACATGGGTTTATGTATAGCTATGCTTCATTTTTTTAAAGGGGTCATATGACGGAACAGCTTGTAACACTCCAAAGAGAAAGGAAAACTTGAAATCGCATAATTTGACCCCTTTAAAGATTAACTTTTTTTTTTTTCCAAGGCATTGTTAGATTCCAGTGTTTACCGTCATAGCTATGTAAAGATTTGATTTCAAAAACAGTATCATAGCTAATAAAATATTTCTTGTTATGATTTTAAATATGTATTTAACCTCAGAATGACCTCAAAGTAAGTCTTTTTGTGATTGCTGTGCTTCAATGGGGACATTAATCTTCCACAAGTTGGTATTATTATTTCGGGTCTTCATGAACGGTTTGCAACATACTTTGGTTAAAATGTTAAAATTCCTCAGTGGTCGTGTAAAACAACACCCTGTTTAACTTGCTCTGTTCACAGCGACTCATTTTGGGGCATGTCCCTTTAAATGCTAATGAGCTCTGCTCACCCGCCCCTTTCTTCCGTGGAAGAGCAAAGTCGATTTAAAAATAATCATAAAAAATATAAAAAGTGTCAGACTTACTTATTCTGGAGGTGCAGGATCACGAACAATGCGTACTGATCTATCCTTGAGTTTTAACATTTTAACAAAACCTGCCTTGAACCTCGTTCAGAAAGCAGTCTGGAGTAAAATTATTAGTGCAGACATAAACGAATTTAGGTGTATTCAGTGGCGCGTTACAATTAAAAACAAAACTAATGCACTGCGTTCTCAGTGGCTCTGATGTCGGGAGAAAATTAAGGTTCTTATGTTTCTAAGATACATTTATATGCAAACACCATGTAAAAGTGAATTTTGCATCCAATGTCTACTTTAAAACTGAAATATAATCTTAATTCAAGTGATGAAGGATTTCGAAAGTGTGACAGTAATCAGTGTTGAGTACTACTGTAAGGTTTACCCTGCCTGGTTTACATGTTTGAAAATGATAAACAGTTGAAAACATTAGAAATTTAGAAAAGTAATCAAAGTAATCAAATGTAATGTTACATTTAATAAAATGTAATTAGTGTAACTTTTCAATTACTTTAAGTAGTGTAACTTGTAATCTGTAACCCATTACATTTCCAAAGTAACCTACCCAACACTGAGCGTAAGTTACTATGGCGATGAACGCCGCTAAAAGTCAAGCCACTTTCATGGTACCCAGGATTGGCGCAAACTAATCTGAAACTTGCCTGGCTAGCCAGCTAATCCGGCTTCATGGTACAGCCCCAGAACTAGTATTTGCCAAAAATCCTACCACACTATTGATCAGAAACATCTTGAATAAGGAACATCAAAGACAAGTTATCTTCTCAAGTAATGTCACATCTGTTACATGAATTATATTTTAAATTTTTTTAGTTTCATGTTTGTGTGTTTGATTCCTCAGTCGGAGTACGAGTTCATCAGCTGTGGGCTGTACCTGGTGGTGCTCCTGCATCTGTGTGAGCAGAGGTTTTCTGATGTCTTGGGTGCAGTAAATGATGCCGGGGTAAGACTGCCACATCTTTCCGGTATTGCTTTGTTTATTGTCTTATCTTTTAGTTCAGTACTTTGGATCATGTGGTGCGTCACTCGGTATCAAAGTGTTCATTATAAGCTAATGTTGTGATTTTTAAAAAAAACCCACAAAATTTTCCCCTCTCTCGCTCAGTTTTTCAACTTGGCGAGAACTCTACATGAACACATGGACAATCTTGAAAGTACGTTATGAATTCTATTTATTTTTCGTACTGCATCATAAAACCCCTAAATCTTGTCAGTTCATTTATATTAATCTTTATATATTTGTTGATATCAACTTTTAAATGCATAGGTAAGTATAGATGATAACCCAATAGGGATGTAACGATTAACTGCGAGCCGGTTGAAAATCGATTCAAATATGTGACTATTCAAATCGGTTGAGATGCTAAACAAATCGAGATTCATTTAGGTGTAGGAGTTTATATGAATGCATGTCTGAGGGGAACTTACTGTCTTTAGAAAAGTTTAGATGGTATCCTCTGTATAA